TCGGTCAAAGGAACTCCGAGGAAAGGCGAGGGCAGTCCCGCTGCCGCGACTTCGCTTCTTGGCGAGGCAAACCAACAGTGGGGCTCGGCAAGGGACTCCAGTTGTGAAGGGGGAGCAAGGTCGGCGCTCCGCGACTTCCTCTTGGCGGACAACATGCAGCTAGGCAAGGAACTCCAAAGAAGGGCGAGCAAGGTCGCTCCGGCACGTTATTTCTTGGGCAGACAAGAGGCAGCTCGGGCCAAGGAACTCTATAAGAAGCGGCAAGGTCGCGCTCCGCGACTTCCTTCTGCGGCGAGCAAACATCAGTCGGCAGGACTCGCAAAGAAGGGGCGAGCAATGGGGGTCCTTGGGGGGGGGGGGGGGTGGGGGGGGGGGGGGGGGGGGGGTGGGGGGGTTGGGGGGGGTGGTCCCGCTCTCGCGACTTCCTTCTTGGCGAGAGCAGCATTAGCTGCGGCAAGGAACTCTAAAGAAGAGCGAGGCAAGGTCGCTCCGCGACTTCCTTCTCGCGAGCAACACCAGCTCGGGGCAAGCGGAAGCTCCAAAGAAAGGCGATGGCAAGGTCGCGTCTGCACTTCCTTCTTGGCGAGCCTGTAGCTCGGCTGAAACTCGGGGAGTTGACAAATCATCAAACTCTTCAGGGCCGGAAGTAGAGCATCTCGGCTGGACCTCGCAGTTGAGGCAAATCACAACTCTTCAGGCCGGAGTAAAACATCTCGGCTGGAAGCCCTCGCAGTTGAGCAAATCATCAACTCTTCAGCCGGAGTAAGACATCTCGGCTGGAACTCGGCAGTTGAGCAATATCAACTCTTGCAGGCCGGAGTAAGACATCTCGGCTGGAAACCATCGCAGTTGAGGCTATCATCAAAACTCTTCATCCGGAGTAAGACCATTCTCGGTTAGGAAAAACCTCGCAGTTGAGGCAATCATCAAGCTCTTCATACCGGGAGTAAGACATCTCGGATGGGAACCGAAGTTGGACAAAACGACAACTCTTCCAACCGGAGTAAACCATCTGGTTGGGGAATCCGAAGTTGGACAACACCACTCTTGCCAAACGGAGTAAACCATCTATCGGTTGGGAATTCGATAGCACAACTAGTTGACAAAACACCAACTCTTCAACCGGAGGGTATAACGCATCTCGGTTGGTGAATTCCGAAGTTGGACAACACCAAACCTCTCCAACCCGGAGTAAACCATCTCGGTTGGGAGATCACGAAGTTGGACCAAAACACACAACTCTTGCCAACCGGAGTAAACCTCTCGGTTGGGAATCGCGAGTTGGACAAAACAGCCAACTCTTGCCAACCGGAGTAAACCATCTCGACGTTGGAAGTCGAAGTTGGAGCAAACACCAACTCTTGCCACCGGAGTAAACCATCTCGGTTCGGGAATTCGAAGTGGACAAAACAACAACTTTTCAACCGGAGTAATCATCTGCGGTTTGGGGAATTCGAAGTTTGGACAAACACAAACTTTTCAACCGGAGTAAACGCATCTCGTTGGGAATCCGAAGTTGGACAAAGCACACAACTCTTCCAACCGGAGTAAATCATTCTCGGTTGGGAATTCCGAGTTGGGAGCAAAAACACCAACTCTTCCAACCGGAGTAAATTCATCTCGGTTGGAATGCCGAAGTTGGACAAAACACCCAAACTCTTCAACGCGGAGTAAACCATCTCGTTGGGAATCGCGAAGTTGTGACCAAAACACTAGCTCTTCGCAACCGGCAGTAAACCATCTCGGTTGGGAATTCGAAGTTGGACAAAACAGGCGCAACTCTTCCAAACGGAGTAACATCTCAGCTTGGGAATTCGAAGTTGGACAAAACACCAACTCTTCCCAACCGGAGTAAACCATCTCGGCTGGGAGTTCCGAGTTGGACAAAAACACCACTCTTCCAACCGGCAGCTAACCATTTCGGCTGGGAATCCGAGTTGGACAAAACACCAACTCTCCAACCCGCGAGTAAACCATGCTGGCTGGAATCCGAAGTGGACAACCCAACTCTTCCAACCGGAGTTACAACCATTCTCGGCTTGGAATCCGAAGTTGGACAAAACACCAACTCTCGCAACCGAGAGTAAACCATCTCGGCTGGGAATCCGAAGTTGGACAAAACACCAACTCTTCCAACGCAGTAAACCATCTCGGTTGGAACGAAGTTGACCAAACCACCAACTGCTTCCAACCGGAGTAGAACCATCTCGGTTGGAATTCGAAGTTGGACAAACACCAAAACTCTTTCCAACCGAGTAACCATCTCGGTGTTGGGAATCGAAGTTGGACAAAACACCACTCTTGCCAAAACCGGAGTAAACTGCATCTCGGCTGGGACAGAAGAGTAGGCCCCTCCATCGCACTATTATTGTTCGGACACAGCAAAGCTCTTCAGGCAAAAGTAACTTCACTTCTATTACATGACCAAAAAGAGTATTTGCATTCAAAGTTAGGGGAAACAAGTCCCTCAAAAATTAGCATAATGGCGCGATTCCATGGCCGGGGCCCTTTGGCCATCCAAATCCTCTAAGTGGATATGCCGCGCCTTTGCCCGGTTATCTTGTAAGTCTTCCTAGTTTGCCCACTAGCTCCTCACCCGGACTAGTGCGTTGCCCATAACCTCCTTTTAAAACGCCAGTCGCCCCACTTTTGCCGCGTTGCCATCGAGGTTGTCTCCCGGTGGGACGTCGCTGCATCATCTCTACTGCGAATGTGCTCATTGATGCGCTGCTTGGTGCCACATGGATGT